CCATCAAATTTCATGGTGGTTAGATACCCATCAGTGTGCCAGCAAGTGATTTGTTAGATGTTTGTGAACGTTCTTCCACAAACTTCATATATTCCTTAGCAATATCAGTTTTAGGGATAGTGGAATTGATATTCTTTGTTGAGGTCATCCACATAAACATTAAGCTTAACTTATTTGATCTTTTCCAAGCTTTATGAAATCATCTTTCATTAGCACTGCTCTCATCAGTGAGATCAGCAAGCTTCCCAACTTGAAGTGCCAAGTATAAGTCCAAAACACCTAAATTGAACTGGACTTGTTCACAGTAGAGAAATTGAGTCCATTGAACAGTGGTATAGATGAAGCGTGCAAATGCAGAAAAATGGGAACAAATACTGCAAAATATAAAATACTTTAACATTAACGCTTTGAGTTTTGGCTTAAACACTTAAATTCAAATTCAGATAATATTAAATGTATATTGTAGCTCTCCTTTGGGTGATACTACGNGTTTTGACTTAAACACTCAAATTTAGATTCAGATAACATTAAATGAATACCGTAAGTTTTCTTTTTGTGATACTACGTTATACCATCATAATAAACATAATAACGCTAATTAATTTCACTTAATTGGTAATTAAGTATATCCTAATCAGACATGTATGTTATCTTTGGATATACAAAATACATCCAACTAAATATATCAATTAACTACGATTATGTTCAAGATTAATAAAATTAATTGATTAGCTTTTAGACGATCCATAACAATTTTATAATATATGAACGTCAATATACTCTTGACAACAACAATAATAATGTCGTCTTCATTTATAACCATCAGATATCAAGAATAATTTACAAATAAATTATGTAATTTAGTGTTCGTAATACCATTAGGTTTGGCCACTTTATTGACTAACAAACAACATTAATCCAACACTAATTACATAAATAAAATATTTATCACTTAATATTTATTTACAAATTTACATATTCCTGTTTAGCAACAAAAACTTAATAAACCCATCACTCGACTATAAGAATTCTTTTATTTCACGTAATCAGATTCTATATGCAAATGGGATACACTTTATAGCAGGTTATTAAAGTAATAATTAATTAAAAATGCTACTGCATCTATATCATGTGTCTTTAAGGCAAAGCTGCAAATCACATCATTTTCACCACTTGATTCCACCGATCTATAGTTTAAGGCCTCTGATTTACGGATTTTCATGAAGCGGAAAAAAAAATGTAGCCGTGAATTTCAACAATAATTAGTTTTCTTAATTTCAACAAAAACCTTCATCTATAAATCTACAAGAAATAATTGAGGATCTATAAGTGGAAAACATTAATCTTTAAAGGAAAATCGAGAATTCCCTAACTTGGCTGTGATACCATATGTAAGCAATTGTATAAACCTAATACCAAGATTTTCAAAATTCATGATTTTCACATATAAATTAATTGATCAAGAAACATACATTGATCAATAACAATAACTGAAATATTTAAACCTATAAAATATTAACTAATAAAATTTAGAAACCATTTTCTGTCTTTTCCTCTCTGTAATTGAATGAATTAATTTGATGAGTTTCATTCACTTTCATACGCAGAGAGATACAGTTTCATGGGCCATAAAAACCACCACCTTTCCATCAAAGTGGATAGTTAAAAAAATACTGTCACTTATCAAAATGGATAGTTATAAAAAAAAATTGTCACTTCTTAATGAACCAATAGAATTTTAACAAT